CGTGCATCTTCACTCAGTTATTCAGGTTTTTTTTTTTTTTTTTTATTACGCCTTTTTCCCCTCGCCAAGAGAATATTTATACCGTCAGACGCGCGTGGCAAACAATCCTCTTTTGTTATTCTCCCTTCCTCTGGAAACGTTCCGCCAACACGGTGAATTTAACTTCACAAACTCGAGCTCCAAGGATTAGAAGACGCTCCCGTTGAACGAAACGGTTGATTAATCGTTAATTGCAGCTTATCTTTTTCCGTTGAAAAACGAATTACCGGGATTATTTCACCTTCATGGCGATTCACAATCACGCGATAAAACATGATTTATAATCGATCGAAAATTTTTCAATTAATCTTGTCTTTTTATTAATTTTTCGCATTGTCATAAATAATAATAATAAATAATTCTTCTTCGATTCTTTCGATATATTTGTCACAAAGTTAGATAATGTTAGACACGATTTTCAATTCGTGTATTTCTCGAGGATTAATAATTATTATAATAATGTTCTCTAATAAGCTGTAATTATGGCAAGTACTTAGGTCTTCGAACTTAGTTACTTAGAGCTACGAAATCTCTTAATTTTGTTTAATTATTCAAATCGAGAAATCGCATTTCCATTTTCTCTTCTATCTCCATCCCTCTCGAAATTGGAATTTCCACGGAGCACAAAAGGCCAATTTCCCTTGGCATTCGTTCAATGTCTCAAAGAGTTTCGAGCTATGCTCCAACTCTTTCTTTTCGAATAATTTTTGATATTATCGAGCAATTTTCCAAAAAGTAGCTTTTTTTTCCTTCTTCATCATTATCATCCACATCTCTGCTTTTTATTTAATTTTTTCTCCTCTCTTCTCGATAGCAATTTCGAATATTTTCCAAAAAGTAGTATTTTTTCTTTTTCATCATTTCCATCGATATCTCCAATTCTTCGTTTTTTTATTAAAAATTTCCCTCCCTTCTAGATAGCAATTTCAAATATTTTCCAAAAAGCACTTTTTTTTTCTTCATCTTTCTCATCGATATCTCTGCTTTTTCGTTTTTTTATCTAATTTCTTCTTCCCCTCATCGATAACAATTTCGAATATTTTCCAAAAAATAATATTTTTCCTTCTTCATCATTCTCATCGATATCTTTGCTTCTTCATTTTTTAATTAATTTTTCCCCCTCTTCCTCGACAGCAATTTCAAATATATTTGGAATATTCGTCTATATCTCGATATTTTCCCAAATTCATTATCTTCTTCCGTTCGCTGGATCCATTATTAATTCCTCTATTTCCATCTTTCTCCAATGCTAATCAGATAATCGAATTTCACCTGTTCCACCGATATCGTAGTTAATCGACTCGAGTTCTTTGCCTATATTCAACCACGAATATATATGGTATTTAAGGTGTTGCAGTAAGATGGTTGGATATCATAGAATTATCTCGAATAAATCGCATATCGAATCGAGATTGAATATTATTTGCAGAGGAAGAGGGATATTATTGTATTATTATTTATTCCTCTTCTTCGAACGAAAAAAGTAATTACAATCACTTGGATTTGTGATTCTATTAATTCTTACTTGTATAGGACAAAGAAGTTTATAATCAATAAATTTATTAGAGTTAATTATTTATTTCCATTGTGAATCCACGAAACGTGGAGCATATTAAGTTATCCTCGTTTATTGAATTGTTATTATTTTAAAAATACTTTAAAAATAAAATTTTAAACAATTAAAGGATATTATCTTTTGTTTATCGTTTGTTAATAACAATCTTTTGATAAAACAACAAGAAAACTAATCAAGTTAGTTAAAATATATTATTGCACGACAAGTGATTTCGATAATATATTAAAAATAAAAAATATCACCAAATTCTTTTACGCGTAAAATTATTATTTTTAAGATAAGTTTAAATTTTGCAAAGAATTGCGAAGATTCTGTGCAACAATTGTGGAGACTCTCTTGTGGAGAATTATTAAAATAAAATATCTGATACCGTAGCACGAAACATGCATCAATTTACTTCCTTCTGCAAAGTACTTGTTCTGTAGCGACACGCTAATGACAAGACGCAAGTTGCTGTATGGAGCAAGCAATATTCATTACAGCTGCGACAGAGATAGAGTCTCGCCACTTTGACGAAACTATTATTAGTCGACGTGAAAGCGCACAAGAGACAACCGATTCCCTATACAAGGTGACCGACTTATCAGGAAGCGATTGTATCCTAAACTCAATTAGAAATAATAAAGATATAAATTCATTTCTATCGTTTTTCAAGCAATAGATTCTTATATATATATATATATATATTGCTTACATATAATGCTTAAATTTTACATATAATGCTAGAAATTTTGAAATAAAATGAGCTTGATTCATAAAATTACTTGAAATTACATTACAAAAATTGGAAAAAAATTTACTGTAAAATTATCATTCATTACAGACATATATAACTATTTGATTACTTTGCTTATTGTTTTATCAAAAGAGCAAATGATATGATATCCATTTTAATATATAATGTTATATTATTTAATAGAAATTTTGAAATAAAATGAGCTTGATTCATAAAATTACTTGGAATTACATTTCAAAAAGAAATTTACTGTAAAATTATCATTCATTACAGATACATATATGTATAACTCTTTGATTACTTTGCTTATTGTTTTATCAAATGATATCTATTCTATGATATATCTATTCTAATATATAATGCTATATTATTTGATAGAAATTTTAAAATAAAATGTGATTGAAACGAGCTTGATTCCTTAATTGAAAAAAATTACTATTCATTACAAACATATATATATTTTGTTTATTGTGTTATCAGAACAAATGATATAATATCTATTCTAATATATAATGCTATATTGTTTAATAGAAATTTTGAAATAAAATGTGATGTGATTGAAATGAGCTTGATTCCTTAATTAAAAAAAAAATTATTATTAAAAAATTATTTATTGTTTTATCAAAAGAACAAATGATATCATATCTATTCTAATATATAATGCTATATTATTTGATAGAAATTTTAAAATAAAATGATTGAAACGAGTTTGATTCCTTAAAATTACTTGGAATTACATTACAAAAATTGGAAAAAAATTTACTGTAAAATTACCATTCATCACAGACATATATAACTATTTTACTTTGCTTATTGTTTTATCAAAAGAGCAAATGATAGTATCTTTTAGAATTGTTTAAAATTTTATTTTTAGAACAGGTAGTTCAATAAACGAGGATAATTTAATATGCTCCATGCTTCATGACTTCATTAACAATCAAAAAAATAAATATTAAATCTAACAAGTTTATTGATTGTATCTTCTCTGTCCTATACAAGTGAGAATTAATAAAATCACAAATCCAAATAATTACTATATATATATAATATGTCTGTATTTAATATTTTTGAAACGAATGACAATTTCACAGTGAATTTTCAATTTTTATATACAAATTAGATTATACATAGATTAATTTTTACTGCACATGTATTCTTTTGCTCGCTTACGATCGAATATGAATTTTCTCTTAAAATTTCCATTTAAGGCTTTTCGTTCAAATTATTGGCCAAAATTAGAGTCGATGTCGCTTTTTTCCCCCCTTTACTTTAAAGTAGATTTCGATTCATCGCGTAACAAAACGAAACGATCGATAGATTTACGCGATTAAAAGGTGATATGGATCCTCCTTCACCGTTCCATTATGTCGACCATTTTGATAATCTCGCGTCTTTCGCCTAATTATTTCCCTTTGTTCCGTTTCCTCCAAAACTTTGTTATCAGAACATTCTGACCCATTCGTTCGAAAAAAATTCCACTTCCACTT